TTTTTTTTTTTTTTTTTTTTTTTTTTTGGCGCTGGGGCTGCCCGGAACCTTGCCCGGGGGTCATGCCCGGCCAGGCACCCAGGCGTGTACCCGGGCAGAGGTTGGGTGCCCGGGCGCCCGGGAAAACGGCCTAGCTTTAATCAAGTTTAATGTGCTTAGCTCAGAAATTACACAGGAAATGAGGATTAGAACGCACCTTATTCCAGCCCCAATCAAAATCAACAAAGCTCAAAATGCGCCCCTGCACAGTCGACATCAATCACAGCAAGTTATGAAAAGAGATCACTGCTCCCAAGTTTTTCCAAAAAATTGTACATGTTCGTCCTCGTAGGGTGCTTATTTTTGATTTGCAAGCATCTTACGATTCAATAATACTTCGTGACTTTTTAATAAAAAAATCAACAGGGTAAGCAGTGTGTGTAATCTGACTAAGCTTCCCTCCGAACTGTGCGTGCAAGATTTCCAAGCACATGGCTCCCCTTCAGTAGACTGTTTCCCTTCCATTTTCATGTACTATGGAAACTCGAACACCACACTTCATGCCGCCACACTTCACATCAGAGAAACGTGTGATTTCTGAGCCTATTGAAATGACTCAAGAATTGCGTTATTGAGGAAACCAGGCCAAAGTATCTGCCAAACAACTTAATTCAATATATTGATATAAAAGAAGTAAGCACATTTGATTTCAGAATAGGTTCTTACCAAAGCGTTAACTTGACCTTGTAATTTATGCCTTCGCCATTTTGAGCTCGTTTATTACCTCTCAGTTTCCATAAGCGAGATGGACACGACTCATTTTATTTATCCAACCGAGTGGTTGGAGAACTCAAGATGGGGACCACCACCTGTCGTGAAAGGTTGCAATTACTTCATAGGGGAGACAGCAATCCAAAACCCAACAGTCTATTGAACGCAAACCTGATCGGTTCGCAAAGAGTGAACCACTCCAATCCGACCAAGCACGCCTAGTGGTTGCCAATCAGGACCCATGGAACCTGAATAAGTGGAAATCACAAGAGTAAACCTGGAATATTTGAAAGCACATCATAGCCCAGGGAGAATGCATTTGGATAACATGCCAGGCAGGTCCCAGATCTCTATTCGCACAGAACTGGCCTCCAGGCACAACATTCCGAAGGGCCAGCATACAATGTCAAGTTCCTTGGGTCAGATTGACAGTAACTACCATGAAACAACCAAAACTACTCTACCCCGCAGATCCCAGTAATTGCACCAGTACAACACAAAGTCAGGGAGGAGTTCGGTAGTGGGCCGAAGGAGGCCTTCAGCGGCCATCGTAAGAGACTGCAGCCACCAACCTCATTATCAGATTGCAGGACAGCAACTACAACGAAGCCAGCAAATCACTCTACCCAACAGATCCCAGTAATTGCTGCACCAGGATACAAGGGAGTCAGAGACGAGTTTGGTGGTGGTGGAAGGAGGCCTTCCGCCGCCACGAAAACAAACTGCTACCACCCGACTCACTGCTAGATTGCCTGCCAGGTTCACAGAACAAAATCTGGCTAGAGGTTTGGGAAAAAGACTCGGTAATTGATATCGAGTTCTTTTGTTATCAGCATAGAGTGGTGACATCAAAGATTCAAAACCCAACACCCAGCTCAGCCCACCCCTGCCAAATCCCATAAGACAAAATCCTCCCCACACAGGAGACTCATAGAGAAGCGCAGCAAGGCAACAAAACCACATAACAGTCTACAAGTTCTTACAAGAAAAAACGCAGTCGTCACCCTTTAACAGGATGATGTCAGAGCCCCAGATATGTCAAACACTGGACATTACAATGCCTCACCGAAAAATGTCCTTACCCCTCGTACAGAGAATGACTTCAGAGGCCCAGATTTGTGACACATTGACGATATCGCCATACCTGACTTTCCTCTGTGAGATTTCTCCATGTCCGCCCGAAGTCCTGAGTGAGAAAGAGCTGCACAAAGGAAAAATATTGAGTCAAAAGCAGGACGCTGCCAGCCCTAAAACAACACAACATTTCCCGTTGCAATTTTTGCCACAGGGGATAGTCACCTATGTCAGTGTTTTTCTTTTTCTTTTCAATTATAAGTCTAATTACTAATTAGTAATTAGTTATTAGAATTTGCAATTGCCTTGTGGTTGAATGGTACACACATTAACTGCTACTAAACAGACGATGAGTTCAACTCCTGATGAATAGAACAATATTAGGTGCTACCCAGGGTTGCATGCCTGCCAACCGCTAGCCCTGAAACAACATTTCCCGTTGCAATTTTTGGCACAGGGGATAGTCACCTATGTCAGTGTTTTTCTTTTTCTTCTTAATCATAAGTCTAACTACTAATTAGTAATTAGAATTTGCAATTGCCTTGTGGTTGAATGGTACACACATTAACTGCTACAAAACAGACGAGGAGTTCATCTCTCTCTCTCTCTCTCTCTCTCTCTCTCTCTCTCTCTCTCTCTCTCTCTCTCTC